ATATATATATATATATATATATATATATATATATAGAGAGAGAGAGAGAGAGAGAGACACACACACACCTATCTCATAGAACTGGAAGGGACCCTGAATGAATCCAGCCCCCTGCCTTCACTAGCAGGACCAAGTACTGATTTTGCCCCAGATCCCTAAGTGGTCCCCTCAAGGATTGAGCTCATAACCCTGGGTTTAGCAGGCCAATGCTCAAACCACTGCGTGATCCCTCCCCCTATTTTGTTCTCTCTATGATGCCTGAGCTTCATTTATCAGAGGGGTAGCCGTGTTAGTCTGGATCTGTAAAAAGCAACAGAGGGGTCCTGTGGCACCTTTAAGACTAACAGATGTATTGGAGCATAAACTTTCGTGGGTGAATGCCCACTTCGTCAGACGCATGAGCTTCATTGTTACTTACAGATTATCTGTGGGTATTAGTTTAACTTCAGTTTTAGACACACACTGATTTTTTTTTTTTTTTGCAAACCCTTTCCTTTGGTGTGTTTAATGTCCTTAATATACAAACTGAAATAACCGTTGGCAAATGCAAAGGTGATTACCTAGTTTTAGATGTGCTTATGTTTCCTTTTAAGAAATATAAGCATGTTTTGCAGATTTGAAGGCTGTTAGGTCTCCTCTCTGATATGCATGTGTAGCTCACAGTGATTGTGCCTTTTCCCCAGGTATACTTTGGATTCAGTATTTTTAATGTTTTTGGGTATAATCTTCAAGTCCTTAATCAGGCCTTACCTCCACTGAAGCCAATGGGATTGAATCCTGACTAAAGACTACAGGACTGAGCCCAGAATAATCTTTAACTTTTAGGAAGCTAGTGAATCCCAAGGAGTTTTATATCTTCAGGGCTGGGCAGTTTTCTAGAGTGCTGTGTTTGTCTGTGGCCAATGCAAGGGGGCCACTTTAGGATTTTTGTGTAGAGTCATCTCCCCAATTCCCCCCCAAGATACCCTCTTCCTTCCTCTGGCCTGCCTGAAAGATTGCCCTGCCTCCCTCTGCTGTCAAGTTCCACGCCCTGTTTCATACAGGAAAGCAGCATGGGTAGATGATGCAGAGGAGCAGTGGTGGATGGCGATGGATGCCATCTCGTATAGCACACACAAGGACAGCGGTGTTGATGTGGCTGGCTGGGGAGGTGGTAGCTGGAAAACAGGAAGAGCTGAGCCTTCCTGGCAGCTCCAGGAGAGACTACAGGAGGGCTGGCTCAGGGAGAGGTGTGGTTGGTGGCAAGAGACAGCAAAATCTGAGTTTGCTCTGCTCTTGTCCTTTGAACTCAAATATAAAGGCTAAGTATGGTCATCTTTAGGAATCTAAGGATCAAAGTACTATAGAAGAGGTCCAAGTGCAGCAATAAGCCACATGTGGCCCTTCAGCATTCCTATGGTGGGCTGGCATAGGTATCAGCCATGCAGTTGGAATGGTCATCTGTGGCAGCTATTCCACCATGTAACAGCCAAGCATTCAGTCACCTGCTTCTCAGGGTTGGAAGGGACCTCAGAAGGTCATCTAGTCCAGCCCCCTGCTCAAAGCAGGATTAATCCCCAGACAGATTTTTGCCTCAGATCCCTAAATGGCCCCCTCAAGGATTGAGCTCACAACCCTGGGCTTAGCAGGCCAATCCTCAAACCACTGAGCTATCCCTCCCCCCCTCTGCTTCTGTTAATGCCAGGAGATAAAATGAACAAAAGCATGAAATGGGCTCAGCACCAAAGCAGAAATAATGGAGTATTTTGTGCCAGATAAGAATTTCAGTGGGCAGGCTAGCAAAAAGTCAGTAACTCCAGGAAGCACTATGTGGCGCGTGGAGAGAGCAGTAGGCTTGGGACGCTTGGGTCCCAAAGCTCCAATTTGTAATAACTGCCCAGCCTGCGTGCCAAGAAAAGTTTGGCCATTGCAAACCTCCAAAATTCTCAATGACTTTCCTTATGCTTTTGAAATGTATTCTGTTTCCATTTACATGTTTCCTTCACCTCAATATAGATTTTTATTTAGTTACATATTTTTAGTGAAGCAAAGTTCATTGCTAAAATATTTATGTCCGTTACAAAGAACAGTATTTTATGGAACTACTTTATGTAGAAGCTTTTATTGCACAGTTGTATGAATTGGTGTGTTGTTGATACTCTTTGCTATTTATTTTTGATTGATATATTATCATGGGTACTGCCAAAAAAGAAAATGTTGCCTTCCCTTAGTTGGCTATGCATCCCACTGTGATATCATCAATCAAGAACTTTTTGCTCCATGTCACCCATACATCAGTCCAGGATTATACTACCAGCTGTGCCGTTTTGATGCCTGTAAATGTGGAAGCAGCTGTTTGTGTAATGCACTTGCACACTATGCCTATATCTGTAGCAAGCATGGAATTGCTATTGATTTCAGATCTCAAGTTTCATACTGTGGTGAGTAACATTTGCAAAAGAAGAATAGTTTTAGAAATGGGGAATGATGAGAAATTCTTTGAAACAAAATAAATCTTTGCTTTGCATCAGAAGCAAGAATTCTGCTTTGAGATGTTCAAATATGAACATAATACACAGTAGATGCAGCTGCAGTGCTGAGGGTGTCATTTTTTGGAAGGAGGGGAAAGAGGTCACAGTGTGATTTGGAAGGTAGAGCAGGACTTGAATCCAGATCTTTCAAATCATTGGCTAATGCCCTAACCACTGCATCATTCTTCCTCTCCCCTAGAAACTGAGTTACTAGAAATATATCGAATATACTTTGAAACACACATACTTTTTCGAGGGTTTTTCTCAACAAAAATGCATCCTGAACTTAATCATTTAAAGCCTCAAAATGGATGAAGCCAAGAAATTTCTAACACACTTGAAATCAGAATTGGCCTCAGGTTTAGCTGAGAATCACATGACTAAACCCCAGCACATCTCTGTGGCAATTTGGGACAGTACATCTTACTGTGTTATCTCACACTGGCATGAATGTATCTCAGTGTATTTATTGCAACCTCATAAGATGATGATGTTTCCTCCCTAGCTCTAGTGTGCCGAAGTGGTATGCTGTACCATCGATGCTCTTCTTTTTGCGAACACTCCTGTTCTTCCCTTTCTGCCCCGCATGTGTGTAATGACGACTGTGCTGAAGGATGCAATTGTCCTGATGGCAAATACTTTGAAGAATCAATCAACTTTTGTGTGCCAATGTAAGTCATATTACATTGTTTTGAATATACTGTGTTTGTCGCTTTGCAGCAAGCCTTTAAAATAGAACTCTTTCTTGCATCTCATTTTGTGTTCCCCTTTCTCCACCACTGTTACTGTACCAGTTATTGGCTGATAGTGTAATTGGTGACTGATGGCCAACAAGACAAGTGATTTACTGATTCAGTATCAGAAAATGTAAAGTAATGCACATTTGAGGGAAACATTTAAACTACTCGTACACTTTACAAGATTTTAAATTCACGATATCAGCTCAAGAAAGAGACCTCAGAGTCACTGTAGACAGCTCATTGAGGACCTCTGTTCAATGCACAGCAGCAGTCAAAAAAAAGCTAACAAAATGTTAGGATACATAAGGAAAGGGATAGCAAATAATATAAAACTATCATAATGCCCTTATATAAATCAATGGTGCAGCTTCTCCTGGAATACTGTTTGCAGTACTGGTCACCCAGTCTTAAAAAAAGATATTGCAGATCTGTAGGTGGTTCAGAGAAGAGCGATGAGAATGTTCAAGGTCATGTAAAAATTCTCATATGAAGAGAGATTGAAAAGATTGTGATTGTTCACTGTAGAAAGGAGACAAATGAGAGGTGACATGATAGAGGTGTATCAAATAACAGAGAAGATGGATCTTTAACTTCTGTTCCCCATTACACATAACAGAAGCCCAAGGAGACATTCAATTGAATTATAAGGTGGGAAGTTCACAATGAAAAAAGGAAATACCTTTTTACACAGCATGTAATTAACTGTGGAACTCGTTGCTACAGGAAGTCATTGAGGCCAAGAACTTAATAAGATTTAAAAAAAGGACTGGATGTTTATATGGTTATCAAGAATATCCAGAGTTGTTACAATTAATGACAATAACTATTTTGGAAAGGATAGCAAACCTCATTTTTCATCGTTTTAGCCAGTCTCTAGCTATTAGAAATCAATGTGGGAAGCGGATTACCCCACAGCTACTTTCTGCGGGGTTCTTATCCCGTCTTCTGAAGTGTCTCATTCTGGCCAGTGTCTGACAGGATACTACACCAGATGAAACTCGGGTCTGATTCAGTATGGCAATTCCTATGTTCCTAAATCAGGCTGCATCTTGCCATACTCAACCTGTAACCAGGAAGAAAAGCTGCTTTCTGTGAGGCTGCAACACACAGAAACAGCAAATAAGTAATTTGAAGATCATTACAGGATATGAATGAAATCCTGGCCCAATTGAAGTCAATGGCAAAATACCCATTGACTTCAATAGGGCCAGGATTTCACCATTTAAGTCTTGCCTTAGGTTAAGCTTGCACTGTAAATATAAATAAGCAGATCAATTAGAGAATTAAACTGCATGTTTATCCTACTTAGTTAGGATTTGAAGAGTAAATATCCTTATAGCCTATTTCATATAGTTTTTATACCCATATGCATAAGCTTTGTTTTCACAGATCTAGCTGTCGTTGCTATTACAAAGGCAGAACTTTCCAGCCTGCAGAAATCCTGCCCACACAGTCAGGCTCTTGGTAGGTTTTGGTATTAAGTGTTTAATCTTTGACTCACTCAGGCCCTGATCCTGCTAGTAGAATTGTATGAGCAGACCCCTATGCCTGTGTGGTTCTTAATTCAGAATCAAGGCATAACTGCTTCAAGATCCATGTTTATTTCATATATTGGAAAAGGAATTCTTGAAAGAAACTGGTTTCATACATTCTTAACAAAGAAATCTTAAACCCAAAGAAACAACTCATCCTACCACCACTCAATATTCCCCACTTGCCCCAACCTCACCATGCCCCATTGCCCCCTACTTGCCACAAACCATATCACCCTGCAGTTCCCCAACACTCCTCACTCACCCCACAGCCAACCAACAACTCAACCCCACCCTTCTCCTCTGGGATTTTCCTAGCCACTCAAAGTTGCCCTTCCTTCCCCCTCCCCTCCACTCCTCTCCCCCGTAGCTCAGCCCTCCACTCCCATACTGGGCTAGGGTGGCTCCTCCTGATCCTGGCTGTCCAGCTCCCCTCGGTTCACAGTCACTCGGCCCCACTCTGCTCAGGTTTGAAGTGGCTGTCAAAGTTCAGTAAGTGTTGAGAGACACAGGGTTTCAGGGCTGATCAATTGGGTGTGGTGCTCAGAGAGGTGGCCATGCCAAACTTCAGTGAGTAGGGTGTGATCTGCCGCAGTGCTGCTGAGGTTTGGCTCTGTCATGACAGAGGTGTGGCTGGGCCAAATTTGAGCAAGTGGTGTTGCATTGTTGTGCCGGTTAGTTTCTCTCCCCCCCCCCCCGCCGCGCCCCAGTTGTCTCATGTTATTTCCCTGAGATGGGGGCTTATGCAAGTACACATGGGTTAATCTGGGCCTGTATCACATTACCAATACCTTGAGACAATATAAATAATAGGGTTACCATACGTCTGGTTTTTCCCGGACATGTCCGGCTTTTTGGTAATCAAACCCCCGTCTGGGGGGAATTTCCAAAAAGCCGAACGTGTCGGGGAAAAATACTCCCTGGCTTACCTTAGAGCGGGCGCCGGGGGCTGCTGTGCTCCCTGACTCCTCGGCTCTGTAAGAGCCGAGCTGCCCGAGCGCTACCGGCTTCGGGCAGCCCCCATGCCTCTGGACCCTGCGCCCCCGGCAGGCACTTCCCCTCCCGGGCTCCGGCCGGGGGCGCAGG